AGTATCCATCAAGAGACCCGTCTGAAGCGAGCGGCGGCTGCGCGCTGAGAAACAAAATTAGGGAGTTATTCGAGATTCCTACTCCATGTAAACAGGCGCAAGCACCGTTCCGAGTGGACTGGTGATCGCGAATAATTACGTGAGGATCCATCTTTTTTTTTTAAAAATATTTTATTTTATTTTATTTATCTTTTTTTTTATTACTAAACGCGGATTTGACAGGGACGGATCTCACTCCTGATTAGTTGTGGGAACTTGATTCATTGCTGTATAATCTGACGTGTTCACTATTTGACGGTTTAAGTTAAAACTCGGAGCTATATGGACTTGACTCATCGCTGTGTGACCAAGTTGATTTACTAATTGACTATTAAAACTCTCTGCTGTAGGAACTTGCTAACGGTGCGTGACAGCCAACCTCAAACACGATCCCTGCTGGTCGCTGAGGACCTCGGACGCGGGCGCGGCGAGTGACAGGCGCCGTTGCCCTTGGCTTCAGCGACAAGCGGGCGCCCTTCCCCGGGTTTCCTCACAACGCGTTGGAGCTGGCGGAGAGTGACATGATCAAGGCGATGGTAGACCGCCCGAGGGCGGAGACCGATCGCCCTCATCTCTTCGTGCTCGAAGGGCGGGACGGGATGAGGGAGAGGAGGGGGCGGAGGGGGAACGGGAGCGGGTTCGTCGTCGTCGCGCTGGTGGGGAAGGAGGCCGGCGAACGGACGGACCAGCCAGCGCGGTATCATGGCCATCCTCTGGCCGGGGCTCCTTTGGGTCACGCGTCGGGTCGTTGCCGACGTGGAGTTCTACCCCGGAGACGACTTCCAACTGGGACTTTTTCGAGGTCTGCTCCTCCTCCTCCTCAAGTACCTGCTCCCGCTCGTCGCTATCGTTGCTATCGCTGCCCTCGGCCGCACTCTCTTCCTCACTGATCTCCTCCTCCGCTTGCTGAGGCTCGTCGGGGTCGTCATCGTCGTCGCTTGCGTGGGATCTATACCCCTCGCTCTCTTCTTCTTCTTCTTCCTCGCTCTCGCTCGGCTCTTCCTCCGAGCTTTCTTCTACCAGCTCCTCCCGGATTTGCTCTTCCAACTCTTCTGGAAGAGGAGGATGGAAGAAGGCGTCGTCGATGATGCCGCGCGGATCGAAATACTCCAGCCGCGACGGCGGGACTCTTTGCGGGACGTCTTCCACACAGGCCGACCACTGCAGATACGGCAGCAGGGTGCGCTCGGTGACGTGTGGGGCCAATCGCTCGTCCTCGTGCGCGATGATGCTGAGGTCGAGCTCGTCGGCCAGATGTGCGATGACGACCGTGAATTCCCGGGTGAGGAGCCTGCGGCTGCCAAGGCGCACGGATCCAAACAAAAATCCAAGAAGATCTCCCTCCACCTCTGTGCGCCACGCTTGGATAAGGAGGAGCTCCCACCGTTCGTCCTGCTGCTGGCTCGCCCCGTCCTGATTCCACTTCGCCTATACTTCCACCAAACACAGGGAGAGCTCGATAAAATCCCTGCGCCACGCGTCCCACTCGTGAGGATCGATGAGGGGGACAGTCAGGGGAATCAAGAGAAATGAGAGACGGGGGTGAAGATTGGACTGCCAGAAGGTAGGGAAGGAAGAAGGAAGGCCAAAGGTAGAGATGGGAAAGGAGTTCATCGGGATGGGAAGGGAGTCAGAGGAGGTAGAGGCACGGGCCGATTGCGCGGATCGTCACGGAATCCTTCGTAGTCCATCGTCTGGATCGGGGTCACCACATCTTCCTGCCGGGCCAAACGCTGCGCCCACTCGTTGAGGAGGTTCTGCGCCCACCACCGCAGCGTGACCTTGACACCCGTTTGCCGGAACACAAGGATCGATGTGATGTCGCCGCTGAAATTGACCACCACCATAACCCGGCTTTCTCCTTTTGCCGATCGCTGCCTCAAACCCACGGCCTCGGCCAAGACAACCACGTCTCTCTGCTCGTCGTGGCGAAATTCCGCCGCCGCGTACACTCCCCTGGTGCCAAAGAGCTGCGCCAGCCTGTGAAGATCTGGACTGAGACGAGGATGACACACCTGGCGTAGCGTGAAACCACCACGTGGCGCCAACGATGTTGGAGTGAGGGCAATCTCGTCCATAAATATCATGGCGAAGGTGGCAGGGTGTCAGTTGAAAAGGGGGAAGGAGTACGAGAAGTAGAAGGAGGAAGGGACGACGGATCGTCGTCGTCATCGCTGTCCTGGGAAGAGAGTGGAGATGGGGGAGATGGAGAGGAAGGAAGGAGGCGAAGATAGGACACGTGTCTCACGATCGGACGAGCCGATCGGCTTCCCGACACCTCCGGCACCAGCCGCACCGTGTTCACTCCGTTCGGACCGAGCTCGACGACGTGGAATCGCCCGAAGAATCGGGGCGCTATCTTTCCTTGGCGATCACATTTCCTTACCTGCACTATGTCCCCTAATTTATACTAGGGCTGTGGACCCGCGTTCCCATTTCGGGCCTCGTAGCTGCGGACCTGTCGGCCGTGGGCCAACTCGGTCATCCTTTGTCGTTTTCGGGCTAACCGGGGCAGGGACCGTTCCATCAATTCCATGTGCCGTTTGGCCTTTTCCCGGGCTGTGGCCCTTGTGGGCCTTCGCTCTGAGGTGGCCTCAGTGGGGAGGCTTGGGATTGAAAAGCAAGCCACGCTGTTGGTTCGCAGTTGAAAGGGGCTTAGGCCCGTCGATTCATGCGGCGTCCCGCGATGGATCGCCAGGATGTGATCTACGATATCGGGCCAGGGCCTTGGATAGCGCGCGGCTATATTCCGTCGCAGCGCCGCTTTGATCATACGGTTCGCGTTTTCCACCAGTCCGTAAGACTGTGACATGTGCGGGGCTGTGTTTCGTATGGAGACACCATGGATGACCAGGTTCCGTAAGACTTCGCCCCTGAATTGTACCCCGTTAACTGTCAGTATTTCCTCGGTGTCCTGATGCATCCCAAGGAAACGGTTGACGTACCGCGCGATTTCACTGGCCTGTCGCGTACGGCACGGATAGGCCTCGATCCACTTCGAAAAGTGGTCGACAAAAACCAGTAAAATCGAATATTCGCACCTATTCGGGGCGGATGTCACCTGGATATCGGTAGTATCCATGCTTACTCGCTGGAACGGCCGCTCAACTACCGTCCGGACTATCGATCTAGGCGGCTGAATAGGCGCCTTATCGGCCGCACATACCTGACAGTTTTGGACGATGAATTTAACGTCATCCCGGATATTAGACTAGTACCACTCGTTCCTATCGATAGCAGATTCAGTGATCCTAACCGCAAAATGGGCTGCCATGTCTTCATGGGCTGCTTTCACCCAGTCATACCGCATGAACGGGCGCGGGACTACCATCCAAACCCCGCCACCGTCCGTTTTCCGCTTCTCTAACCTACCCCCAGCCCATTGGTAATCCCGAGCCCTCTCGTTGGCCCGCCTACGGTCCTCCTTGGTGAAATCCTGGAGGGAGTTCCCTGCTACGGCCGCGATCAGCGCGACTTCTGTCCAAACCTCGGCCCGTCTAAATTTCTGTGTCTTTTCCATCCCTTCCAACTTGGCTTCGATAAATCGAGCCTCGGTCGGGATTTTCGAGGTCCGGCATAGCGGACAAAGCCAAGGCTTGTCGTCGTGCCGACGCTGTACGCAATACCCATGAGCCCGGAAGACACAGTGTCGACAGTCTACCCACTCAACGTATCCTTCTCCGTGAGGGCCTGCAGAGACTGAGTAGATGCGCGAAATAGATTCGCAAAAATAACAGAATTTATCGGGGAGAGAAGAAAGAGACAAAGGGGAGAGAGGAGAAAGGGGAGTGTTAGTGTTAGCGTTACCTCCATCCCCCATTGCTTTGCGATTCAAACCTCCTTCTTGCCGCGTGGCAGGACCGCCAACTGCCCGTACTTGGGTTTGTTATCCGGTTCTGGTTCCTTCCACGGGGTGATTTCGTCGCCCTTGAGCACTTTCGCGGGTCGATGCAGACGTGTCAACCCGTCAGCGTTTCCGTGTCATTCCGTTTTCCGGTGCACAATGTCGAAGTCGTATTCCTGCAGCCGTACCGCCCAGCGCCCGATCATGCCCGTATAGTTAGTGAGCTTCTTGAGCGCGAGCAATGGCTCGTGATCTGTGACCAGCTGGAACTTTTGCGCGTACAGATACGGATGGAAGTGCTGGATTCCCCAAACTACTGCGTAGCACTCGCCTTGCGGAGCTGAGTCGTTCTTGCGCTCGTCTGGCACCGTTCGCGGCGCGTACTCAATGACATGCTCGCGACCGTCGTTCCCCTTCTGCGCTAGGATCGCCGAGATTGCTTCCGGCTGCCAGTCTGTTATTAATATAAAGGGCCTGGCTGGGTCCGGCCGGGTCAGAATCGGCGCTGTGGCTAAGGCCTCCTTCAGTGTGGCGAAGGCCCGGTCGCATTCCGAATCCCAGTTCAGGGGCTGCTCCTTGCGTAGAAGATTCGTCAGGGGCCGCGCAACTGCGGCAAACCCTTGGATGAACCGCCGGTAGTACGATGCCAGTCCCAGGAAGGCTCGAACTTGCGTCAGCGTCGTAGGGACCGGTGCTTCCTTAACCGCCGCGACCTTCCTAGAGTCTGGCCGCAGTCCACCACGTGTCACCACGTATCCCAGAAACGAAATCTCCGGCAAGAAAAACTCGCTCTTTTCGATGGCGATCTTGAACTCTGCATCCCTTAATGCACTGAGCGTCCATTCGATGTGCTGCGCATGGCCATGGTAAGTCACTGAGTACACCAAGATATCGTCCATGTACACGATCACGCAGAAGTTGATCATTCCCTGCGTGAGTCGCGTCCTGTTGACGAAATTCAGAAAAGTGACGTTCATCGTGCACTGGAACGTAGCTGGCGCGTTGCAGATCCCCATTGGACACCTCACCCATTGCCACGTTCCCTCAAACAACACAAAATCAGTCTTCGGCCGATCTTCCTCCTTCACCAGGATGTGATGGAAGCCGTGCCGAATATCAAATTTACTAAAGTAATTAGCACAACCAATCGCATCCAACAAATCATCAATCCGGGGAAGGGGGTAAACATCCTTGATCGTGACATCATTCAATTTACGATAATCAATGCAGATGCGAATCGATCCGTTCTTTTTGGGCACTAATACTACCGGAAACGACCAAGGTCCTGTAGCGGGCTCTATCCATCCGTTAAGTTCAAACTCCCTGATCCGTTGCAAGGCTGCTTTCCTTTCTGCAAGTGAGTATCGGTATGGTTTGCAGTGAATCGGGGGGTGGTTTCCTGTCTGTATCTCGTGCTGAATGATCGATGTCAGCCCGATATCCGTGTCCGTCACACTGATCGCACCTTCGTACTCCTGCAGAATATCTACGATCAACCGATGAATTTCATCCGGTACGTAGGTAGGTACATGAAGCTCATACGCTTTTCCCCATATCTCGGTCGTTATCTGTTTGGTGCTCATTGCTTTTGCGGGTTCTTTGGGACGGGCGGAAATGAACGAATGGTCTGACTGCCATGAGAAAACCGTGGCCATCATTTGCGCATCTTCCTCGTGAATGGCCACGTGTTCCTCGGGGGTGATCCCATCATATCTGTCCCACCATGGCACTGGTTTTGGCGCAATCTTGATCCCGAGTTCGTCTGTTCCAGTCTTGAGGCGCTCAGGGGGTTCCAAAGAACCAACCTCTGCGCCGAGGCGGATCAGCCGTACTTCCTTCGCAGGCTGCAACAGCGAACGAGGGAGGTCAGATAAGTCACAGATTGGGCGCTTATCGCGGAAGCAGGCGAGGAGCTGGGAGGTGCCTTCGTAAAGGGTTCGAGGGGGTTCCAAAGAATCGTCCATCCTCGAAATCTGTACGAGAGGCTCCCCTAAGATCATCGCCTGCGTCCTCTGGATATTGCTACTAATCGAAGTGAGCTCTCTGTTCCTATTCTTCTTCGCAGGGTACACGATCCGTTGCTGTAGAAGTTCTTGGACGGCAGCATCGTCCGCATCACTGTCATCTGAGTGCTCATTCCCCATAGCATCATCCCAGGAAAGCACGCGAATGCTTCCTGTCATGGCTGGGGAAGCTCGTGGGGTGCTGACAGTTCGGAGGGTTAGTCTCATCGGCACCGCGTATGGTTTACCTCCTGTGTTTCTCAGGGTGATCGCGCGCTTATTGAAATCCAAGTTAGCATGAAGAGCGGTAAGTACAGGCAATCCGAGGAGGACGTCATATGTGTTGACGTCCAGCACAACGACTTCTCCGAGTGCGTGCCCTTTTCCCAGGCGAAATGCCACGTTGCTCATTCTTCCCATGGTCTTGATTTTCTCTTCGTCCGCGGACACTAACTGCTCTCTCTCGGTTATGTAAATGAGGTCCTTCTTTCTCCCTGCCCTCTCTACCTTACGCAGCGATATGGCTAACACTGCAGCTCCCGAATCAATGATAGCATTATACGGGACACCTTTGACCTTGATATCACATTCTGCGGACTTCCAAGGGATAGCTTTTATCCGCAGAAAATGATCGCTTTTCTGAACGAGTCCCATCCTGATAGGTTCGGGTGGGTTGGGGGTACTCGCTTCTCCTAAAGCCGGGACTTTTCCTTTTGCAGTAGTCGTTTGGGCAAGCGTGAAGCGTTTGCGATTAGCTTTGCAGTGCTGCAGAAGGCGCTCGTTTGCTTGTTCCGAGATTGACAGCAGATGCCCAACTGGCAAGGGGATTCGGTGATCGAGTGCTCGGATAATTTCGAGCACGTCGATTTCACCAGTAACGAAGGTGGGTCCTCCCGACTCCATCTCATCAGTGGTCGGTCGCCACTCTTCCTGTCGCTCTTGTGCCGGCCGTATCGTCCCGATCATGCCTGTCCCGATCAAACCCATCCCTGGATACCCAAGATTAATGTATTGTTCCCACGGGATCATCTCTGCGGCTTCTTCCATGGCAGCCGAGGTACAGCCCAATCCTTCTCCGTCCTCCATCATCACGCCCATACGGCCTGGGCCATTAGCGATACGTGCAGCAGCGACAGGTGCTGCTGCGCGCGGTTGCGGACGTCGAAGGGGACAGTCCCTGGCCATATGGCCGGGTTGATGACACGTGTAACAGATCTGATTAGCTGGGGGCACCAAGGGGACGGCCGCAGCGGCCGCCGCTTGAGGCATAAGTGATGGCCTTACTGCTATCGGTCGCATCGATCGCATCATGGCTTCGATTCGGGCGTGATGCTCCCGTTGTTCCTTCTTACTTTCTTGGATTAGACTGACTTGTGTTTTGGTGAGCTCTATCAGAGCAGTAGAATCAGTAGATCGATCGACAAGCTCTGGGCGAACGGGCGCAGCCAACACCGGGGGTACTGCCATGGCTGGAGGGGCCATCGGCTGGAGGGGCACGTGTTGGTTAGGCGCATTGGGGGCCAAGTTTGGCATCGGTCGTTTCGACATGATCTGATCCAGGTATGTGACTGGTCCGGCCACGAAACCCATGTTTTCGAACTTGTCTTGGAGGGCTGCCAGCTCAGCTTTGGCTCCAGCGAGCTCTGATGATTCACCGTCCCGAGGATAATCGTCATCCTCTAAAAAGCTGGCGGCGAACTTCCTATCTAGGTCTTCGGCAGCGGCCATGATCTGCATCAAAGTGTGGTTGATGGGGGAGAAATGCTTGCGCAATTTCGCCCTCATCGTCCGACTTCGCAAGCCATCAATGAACAGATCACGACCTGCTTGCTCACCTCTCTCAGCCTTGACGAACATTCGATAGAATCGGTTGCGATACTCGGTTACAGACTCGAGCGGCTTTTGCACCCGGTCCTTGATCAGGTACAGAGCTTGCCCGGGATGAATGTAATCAAATCGATTTAGGAAGTCCCGTTCGAAGGTCGGGAGATCCAACCAAACATAGGTGCTAAACCAGTAATGGGCGTCTCCTGCCAATCTGGCGGGAATTTTCCGTTGGGCTTCCCGATCATCATACTGCTGAGCTCGGAGTGTGGCTAACCACGCTCCTGCTAGATGATGAGAGGGATTAAACAAGTAAAGATCTGGTGGAGCTGCCGGGGCTCTGGCAGGTGCGACGATAGGGTGAGTATTGGCCGGCGCTGGGGTGCCTGCGGCTCCTCCCGCGGCATTCGCCATGCCAGCAGCTCGTCGAGCCGCCGATCGGCTATGAGTGACGATCGGGTCGCGTGGAGGCGCGTTCCGAGCTGCGGGCCGGCCTCTGCGAGCCAGGACGTCCTATCCGCTAATCAGCAAGATCCCGAGATTGATCCACGTGTCGGCTCCGATACCAACCTCACGCCCAGCGCGACTTCCCGTTCGGAGTAGGATGGGGGCCCGGAAGTGCGTTAAGGGGTGTGCCAAGGATTTTAGGAAAGTGGGGTTGAAGTCCCAGGACAGAACTGAGAACTTCTGTGGCGGAACCAAGGGATAGGGATGCAATTAGCGAGTGTCGGGTACTTAGACGAATTGGGAACCGTTAGTCGGGGAATTCCTGTTAGTGCCACGTGACGGTCGATTCGGCGCAGAATAATTCCATCTTCCGCCGCGCGGCCGTCGCGAGTTTCGTCGCGTCGTGCAGGGCCACTGGAGTGCAATGTAGTTGCAGGGAACCACTAGAAGTCGGTGATAGGGGAGGACGAGTTCAAAAGGAGGGAAGGGAGTGGAAATACGAACGAAACTCGGGGAGATGAAGAAGTGGGAACGGGGTTCGTGTGGGATATGCTAGCAATCGGGCTTGCTGAGCAGTGCGAGCCTAAGTTCTTCTCCACTCGCTCGATCATGTTCGGTTTGACACGGGAATTCGGGGTATGGTCGCAAGGGTCCCCACTGAGTCGGTCCACTACACAGATCAAGCTCGGTCGATCCTTCACTAGTCCTGTCGTATTCCATCCTATCATCGCGAGCGGACTGTCCTTGCGCTGACACGTGTAAGCGGCTCAGGAGGCTGGCCTATACGTGCGAGCGTAAGATCGGTCGATCGCACGCGCTCCCAGGGTGGTTTGGATCGCGCCGATGGGTTGAGTTCGTTATCCTCATTCGTTTCGACTTTTCCCGTCGCGTGCACTTTGAGTGCGCAAAAAAAAAATCACGCAAGCCTATAAACATGAAACTATCTACATGCCAGACATCCATACATTCCAGATTCATCAAATGCATGCGACCTTCATCAGAAGGAAACGGGACAGATTTCTACCCACACACATCTAAAAGCGAGGCATACGACCGCATTCGCGTGTGCGATCACAAGGCCAGTCAGAGCGCGTCGGTCGACCCGCGAGTGATCGGAGATCGATCGCGCGTTTGTACGCTAGCCGGGTGATTTCGTCA